TGTTCACCAAATACTTATTCTGTGCTAAGTAACAATGGGTTTTTCAGTTAAAAAACAGAAAGTAGAAATAAAACATTTGATATTTTTATGCTAATCATTCTTAAAGTTCTTAAAATGAGTGAGCTTATTACCATTTGCTTTGCTGAATATTATTTTGCCAGTATAAAGTTCAAATATCCTTCAAGTAGTAATAGTAATAGCACATTGTAGATTTAGGAGTGATCTAAATGATCACATTCTTCATTTTTTAAATGCACAGTTTAGGGAACTAAATACACCACCCACCACTCACTAAAATATCATCTAGAAACATTCACATTTTCATCATTTTCTCAAAGTACACATATTTCATTCAGTTGGAAAAATCATGACTCAGGCCCTCCCTGGTGGCGCAAAGGGTTAAAGATAGAACTACAAAGCTAGCTGCAGCCACTGCAGCACATGTTCGATCCCTGGCCAGGCAGGTGACCCCCAAAGATGGAAGAGCTCTCCTGACAAGCCCACTGCTCCCCTCAGCAGTGTACTTTGTCAATCTGCCTGTCCTGCTCCCCTCTCTGTCTCTGGTGAATATTCTCACCACCCCTGCACCACTGGCCTGTACCCCAGTTCTGTATGCATAAATAAATCTTTTTTTTAAAAATCATGACTCTATAAAATCTGTTCTCAAAATATTCCCATAACAACAGAGATTATGACTCACCATTTATTGCCTGCCCTCAGTTTAACTTATCAACTTCATTCGAGGCAAGAAGTGGTCAAGTTCCAATTATTAATCAAGCTCATTTCACAAAAGTCATCACTGAAGTTGAGATTCACACCTTACCCCCCTCCAATGTCTATAAAAGAACATATCCATTTGAGTGTAGACAAAAGTTATGTTTCACTGTTACCATAACATTTTTAGGCACACCTAAATCATACCAGAAAACCTTAGTGTCTGACATCATCATACCAGTTACTGTCAACAGCATTATGACACTGCTAAACAACTATGGCAGCCCATCAACTACAGACAGGTGGATTAAAAGGTCTAGGCACTGAATAAATAACATTTCTTCAGATCATGTGTTTTCTGTAACATTTAACTTACACTTTTTTTTTTTTAAGATTTATTTACTTCCTCATACAGAACTGAGGTACAGGTCAGAGATGCAGTGGGTGAGAGGATTCACCAGAGACAGAGCGGGGAGCATAACAGGCAGATCAACGAAGTACAATGCTGAGGGGAGCAGCGGGCGGGTCAGGAGAGGTCTGCCAGCCATGTGGATCTCCTCTGGGGCAGGCGGGGATCGAACTTGGAGCTCATGCGGAAGCGGCTTAAGCTTTTCAGTACCGTGCTTTAACCTGCTGCGCCACCAGGGAGGGCCTAACTTACACACTTTTAAAATATATTCTACCTCCAACTGTTTTAAGAGCTGACTAGAGGAGCCTCCCGGTGGCACAAGGGATTAAGTGGCAGCACTATAAAGCAATCAGCAGCCCAGTACAGCATAAGTTTAATCCCTGACCAGGGAGTTGACCCACATGGCACAGCAGACCTCTTATGTCTCACCCACTGCTCCCCTCAGCAGTGTATTCCATAGATCTGCCTTTTGTGTTCCCCATCCTGTCTCTGATGAATCCTCTCACCTTCCCACACCCCTCACCAGTTCCCCAGCTCTTGTATGCATAAATAAATCTTAAAAAAAGAAAGTTGACTAGAAAAATGTTTTAAAAGTATGATTTATAAAAAGGAATAAATTCAGTACAACTAGGTGTATAAGTATACAAAAAATAGCTATAACATACTAAATTGTTAAAGCCTAAGGGAAATACATAAATCCTTCATCCACCTTTGAAACTTATATATTTTGATATTCTCAAATGCATTCAAATAGACATAAAAGACATGCCACTTAGTGTACTGAAAATTAGCTTTCTAATCACACTTGTCAATAAAAAAAAGGGCATTCATTCTTCATATTGTCATTTATACAACACTGTAAAGCTGAAAAATTGTGGATAAAACTAAAACATAGTTAAATCTAAACCAGAGGTCAGTAAGTTAGTATTTTTTATTTATTTTTTATTTTTTATTTTTTAAAGATTTATTTATTTGCTCATACAGAACTGGGGTACAGGCCAGAGGCTCAGGGGGCGAGAGGATTCACCAGAGACAGAGCGGGGAGCAGAACAGGCAGATCTACAAAGTACCCTGCTGAGGGGAGCAGCGGGCGGGTCAGGAGAGGTCTGCCACGCCATGTGGTCTCCTCCCGGGCAGGTGGGAATCGAACTCATGCAGAAGTGGCTTTAGCTTCTCAGTGCTGTGCTTTAACCCGCTGCGCCACCAGGGAGGGCCAACTTAGTATTTTTTAATGTCATTACCTGAAAGAAAAATTTCCTCTAAGTTTTTAGAACACTGGTTCTATATCTTTGTTTTTCCTCTATTTACATATCCATATAAACAAAGCAGTTTTAAATACTTAGAATTAATCCACATATTGAGATAAACTTGTTTAAATGCCAGAAATAATGTGGTTTATCTCTATCTTCACAATGGTCCTCAGGACCAAAATGACTGCTAGGCAGTTCAATCTGAAAACTGGTTCCCTTTTTTTTCTCCAGAAAAGCTCTAAAATCATTCTAGACAGTCAAAAATTACAATAGGTATTTTAAGAGTTTCCTTCAAATTCTTAACAAAGAAAAAAAAAATCCCTATGTGAAATCAACTCAGATGTAAAAAATCAACTCAGAGGTCATTATCTTGATCTTCACCATCTGCTCATTTTGCTCAAGAAACCACATAAGACTTTCGTCTAAAGCATAATTTTTTAAAACAATAAAAAAATACTTAAATATCTGTATGTTCCAGAGAATAAATAAGCATTAACAAATAAGTTTTGTCATACTTTTGTTGTTCACTATTATTGTAAAAGTCATCCATTCTCAGCATGTAGCTGAAACTATTTTATTAGAAAGGCAAGTCCTGACTGACCTTACCAATGGTTCATCACTGCCCAGATTCCTTAAACTTGATAGTATTTATAAAGTATCATCTTCCAATATATTCTTTGCCACAGAAAAGGTCTACAAGCAGCAAGAGAACCTCAAAGTCTCCCCTTGGGTTACCTAACTTCTAAACAGTATGAGCACTTCCTCATAGAAAACAATGGAAAAAATGAATACAATGGCTGGATGATATTATATCTCCAAACATGTTATTGTTATAAATAAAACTTAAGAGGTTAAGTTACAAAGACATTACAGATGGTTTCTGACTTGTATAGCTAAACTGAAAGCACTCCCCCAATCCCTAGGGATAATGAAGTGCCTTCTCACTCACTGAAGTTACTTTGACTGCAGGATTTATGAATGCTCAGCAAGCATGAGTAACCTCTCAAATGCTGCCTCCTCTTCCTAGGACAAACAGTACACATTTTAAAGAAAGCAACTCCCTACTTACATTTTTGTTATTCAATGCATGCCTACATATAAATCTATTATTTCTAAAAGTGTTACAGGCCCAAATTCAAGAGCATGATTTCAAATCTAACTCTGATTTTTAAATTTGATAATTTTTTTTACATACATAAATTTGTTAAATATACATCATGGACACTATATAATGTATTGTGTACTTGAAATCTAAGAAGGTAAATCTTAAGTGTTCTCACCACTCACACAAAAAGGTAACTATATGAGATGATGGACAGGTTCGCCAGTTTGACTGTAGGCATTATTTCACAATGTAATCATATATCAAAACATCAAGTTGTACACATTAAATATACATACAGTTTCTATTTGCCAATTATACTTTCCAGTAAAGCTGAAAAAATGTGTAATTCTAAAAAACAATCACTTATTTCCAACCCATCATAAAATTGCATTGTTTGGAAATTTTAATAGTAATCTGGTCTTGCACCTAATTTTAAACAGAAAATATTACCAAAAACACTTCCAAAAGCAGCTTCTGCTTTTTAATTATTATTATTTTGGAAATAACTGTTTTGAAATGCATACCAAAAAAAAGTCAGTAACAAAAGCACAAACATTTATTTCTGTGTATGTACATAAAGCAATTTTTCTATTTAAAAAAGGTCCAAATGATTTTTCAGCTTCTCAAAGAGACTCAAAATTCTACAATAAAGTACCTGGATGAAACGCCACATTGGATAAATTGTCACGGGCAGCCCAAGTCTTTTTACTTTTTTTGATCCCAAATTAGGGGATTATTTATCCTAATTTGATGTATCCTGCACAACTTCTGAGCAAGGCAGGCATGAAATGGCTGTCCGATATAAGTGGGCCCCTTTCAAACACCCAACGCCGCAACCCCAAATTCTCCTTGAAAGGGACCGGGAGAGGCAAAGAGATTAACATCCCTATTGCTCAAAGGTCGATTTGGCTCTTCCAGGACGTGTCCTTCTCTTCCATCTAAAAGAGACTGCGGTGCAGGGACCACGTTTCCGAGAGGGGTTTAAGTCCCCAGGAGGTCGTCACTTGCACTGATCGCATCCAGCAGCCTCCCACTCCAGCTCCAAAACGCACCCTAAGGTAGCGGCTGCGGACAGGGGCGCAGCAGACCCCAGTCCCCGGAGGCGCGCCCGGGACCCGCGCCGCGGCAGCACCGCGGCAGCGACCTTCCCTGGAGCCCAGAGCCCGGGGTCTACGTCGGCCACACGCCCCACGAGAGAGCAGGAGGAAGGACAACAAAGCCCGACCCGAGGAGGCCTGGGCGAGCTTGAAGTTCGGGCCCCGGGGCTGCGGCCAAAGGAGCAGCTGCCTGGACGCGGAGCCCGCGCGCCGCGAAGCCGGGCAGACAGGTCCAGCGACGCGGTCCGGCAGATGTCAACCCGCGGGCCCGGGGTCGGCGGGGGAAGGAAATGGGGCGGGCGGCGCGAGGCGGCGTCGGGTTGGCGGCCGGGGAAGGCAGGCCTAGCGAGGAGGCAGCAGCGGGGTCCAAGGCTACACGGTGGGCCGCTGCCCCCACCCCAGACAGAGACCGTCCCGTTACTCACCCTCCGGGAAGCTGCGGGCCCCACCGGGGCTGTCCCGGCTGCCGGCCTCGGGGGCCAGGAAGCGCCCCCACATCGCGAGCAGGAAGGCCGGGTGGGCCGGGGGCGTCTGGCTCCCCACGTCCGTCGTCCCCCGCCTTCTCCTGCTTCTCTGGCCGCGGAAACTTGCGCGGATCCTGGGCCGAGGTGGCGCGGGCGCGCGGGCGGTGGGCTAACGGCTGCTCAGCGGCGGGCGGAGAGCGCAGGAACCAGACTCGCCGCTGCGACGGCGGCGGAGGCGGCGGCTGCCATGGCCAAGCCCGCTGGGCTGAGGCCAGGGCCGGGAAAGCGGCGGCTCCGCGCTGACGGCGGTTGGGTCTCGGGCTGAGCCCCGGCTCTGAGGCTCCAGGCGAAGTTGCAGCTGCGGCGGCTTCTCTCCGCCCCCTCCGCCAGCGCCAGCACAACCCGAGCCCCGCCGGGCCGGGCTGAGGGCGGGGCCTCGGGCACTTTACATAAGGCGTGCGCGGCGCGGGGCGGGGCGGGGACTGCGCGCGGGGCGGGGGGCTCATCCACGCAGCCTTGCGGGAGGCTGGGTGTGCGTCCCGCTCCCCGCGCCCTGGGGGATGAGGAGAGGGCGGCCCCTGGCCTGGAGCCCTATTTTGCTGAACCTCCTTCTCTGGGTAACATCCCGCACCCGCGGGGCGCCTCCTGAAGAAACGTGGGAGACCCGCCCCAGAGGGTTGAGGGGCTCCTGTTCACATTTGGAAGTTAGGGTTAAAGTCATCATCGCGCATGCCACAAACATCGTTCATAGAGAAAAAGAGGTCATTTCCTCAACTCATTAATTAAATGGAGAGGGTGGGAAGATGGATGGTGTACCAAAATGTCTACTACCATGCAGGTATAGACGCTGGAAGTAGAGGACAAAAGGGTAATGAGCACCAGAGGGCTCAGGGAGGAGCCAGAATTTTTATTTTTTTAATCTTTGGTGCCATCTGCCTAATAGCAACATGTTTTATGTGTTTGCTTTTATTCTGTGATAGGTATTGGATCTTTTATATAGTCTCAGTCTCAACTTCACATGTACATTTTTGTGCGTGCAGGAGCAAGCCCCTCACATTGATTAAAAAAAAAAAAACATAGAAAACCTGACTAATGTTTTAACTTTTTAATTAGAATTTTTTTATTTTTCTAATATTTTAACACTACATAGAAATTGAGTGGAAATTGACGCTGTAGATAAGCAGCGTCAACATGGCAACAAGGTACGCTAAGGAGGTGACCTCTTCACTCCTCTCTGTCGTTACTACTCTGTCTCGCCAGTTCCCACCGTTCACCAAATGCAGGAGGTTATAACCTGAGGAACGATCAACTCTGAGTTGTTGCAGCATCCTCCTCTTTTTAAGTCTATCTTCTCATAGACGCCATTATAAAGTTTCGGTTACAAAGTAGTTCGTTTTATAAATACCCGTTGAGCACTGTAGAGCAGAAGCCAGCTTGGCACCAGGCTGATGAATCCGGTAAACCAGATTTCAAATCCCTGCCTTCAAATGGCTTTGAGTTTAGTGTTGCTGTTTCTATTTTGGAATTTTGCTAACAAAGGCCTGGCGTTTGGATTTAAACTCCCTATTGCTTAAACATTTTAGAGGTTAAATCACATTGAGGCAGAGAGTCTATCACTTGACCACATCTGTGTGGTAATTTTCTGGCAGCAGTTTTGCATTTAATAGCCCTTTTGTGATTTCCACTTATTTTTTCAAATCATGAAAAGTTAGCCAAGGGTCAACTGTTTCTAAGGATAGAAAGCAATAAAAGCAGAGAAGAATCTGGTTTGGTTCTGACTTAAATGTGCTTTAACTAATTTAATGTGACATTTAGTAATATAGGTTCAAAAAAGAAACCTAAAAAAAGTACATTCCAAAAAGAACCGTCAGAACTATAGAACTACTGTATATCAAAGTATTCTCCCTTTCTTTCATGGTTTATAGTTATCATAGTTTCATACTTGCTACACCAATTATTAAATACCAGACTTTATTGATACAGTTTTAAGAAATGTATGAACTCTTACAAATATCATGGTCCTTCCTGAATATAAAATGTAATTATTGTTATTCCAAAACTCTGTCAATTTCCACTCAATTTCTAAATAGTGTTAGAAAATTAGTCAGGTTTTCTATGTTTTCATCAATGTGAGGGGCTTGCCCCTACACATACAAAAATGTACATGTGAAGTTGAGACTATATAAAAGATCCAATACCTATTACAGAATAAAAGCAAACACTTAAAACATGTTGCTATTAGGCAGATGGCAACAAAGATTAAAAAAAAAAGTGTGTTCCCACTCATTAAACTTGGGGCAGAGAAGGTAAAGGCTAATATTATGTATATGAAGTAATCTGTAACTAACCATTTTTTTAAACATATGATTTCTGATGTACAGTGAACTGAGATTTCTACCATCACCACCACCACCCTCCCATCCATGATACACACACAGTATCTCTCAGAATGATCAGTATATCATAACAGAATCAAGAGCCTAAGGACTACCTAACCATCATTAAGCCTAAAGTTCTAAAAGGGAATATTTTTGTTTTGTTGTGATAGTATGTAAAGACCATAAGTGAATCTTACAGCAAGGAGATTTACTATTGAACTTTAGCACTTTGGTAATTGTTTTAGTAAGCAAAGACTATACAAGTAAGTAGTGAAAATATTGACTCTCTGTGTGTATATCAATATGGTTGCTTAGGTGAATTTTAGGTACTAATTATTTGGGAAGGAGAATGCCTTAAAAATATAAACAAAATTACACAAGAGGAAAATAGTACTAAAATATCATATTCCTTATCAAAGTACAGTAACCCCTTTATTCAAAATGCTGCACTTCAAAGAAGATATTACTTAAAAATGAAAAATAAGTGATGCTTTTATAAATCTAAATTTAAATATGAATCTCTGAAATGTTTAACTATTTTATATGTATTTTTCTTATATAAATATATCAAATTGGGCAAATAACAATGAGAGAACTGAATAATGATATAAAATTGTACTAACGTGATCATTAAAGTGGGGGGAGCCACATGGTGGCAACAGTTAAGTCTCAGCACTCTCAAGCTATTGCCAGCCACTGTGGTATAAGTTCAATCTCCAGCCAGGGTGCTGACCCACATGGCATAGCCGACCCCTCCTGCCTGGCCCACTGCTCCCCTTAGCAGGTATTACAATGGAGCTACCTTTTCTGCTCTCCATTCTGTCTCTGGTGAATCCTTTCACCCCTCACCACCCACCTCTGGCCTACACTCCAGTTCTTATATGCATATATAAATAGAAGTAAATCTTTTAAAAAGATAAAAATAAAATAAATTAGAAGAAATCCTTGTGCATAATATAAAGAAGATTCTATAGAGGTTAATGGTTACAAAATTATAAAATCATAGAAGGCTTTAATTCTAGGCTATGGTTCTCTGAACATCCCATGTGGATGTCTGCTTAGCTGCTGGGTTTCCTCTCCTGACTGATACTACTAAAATAAGAGAAGGAAAATTAGGAAAAGGTGGTATGACCAGGTCAAGATGGCAAGGAAACCTCATTTCAGTTCTTGAACCAGAGAAATACAGAAAATATTTACTTTTGAATCCAGAGTTGGGGTACAATGTCCAGTAAGAAAGTAGTTAAGATAAGGACAACTGAAACTTGGAGCAGTCTTTTGGGTGGGAGAGAGGATTTCAGCCAAAAGTTCAGTCTTCCAAGGCACCATCAATATGTACAAAAAAAAAAAAAAAATGCTTGAGATTGGCATCTCCGTCAATGGAACTCATTTTGCTCACCACCTGGTCATACTGAAACTACAGGGATACCACTATGAGGAAGGCAGACAGTAAAATGAAAGGGACAGGAAATTTGACAATATGTGAAAGTACAAATTCTTCCTTGCCCATCTTCCTTTTCAGACAGCAGAGGGGTAAATGGAAGAAGAGGAGTATGTTCTTTGAGAAAACAGACCTATTCCTTTACTGAGAATGAGAAAGGGAGAGAGAGGGAGGGAGGGAGAAAGAGAGGGAGGGAGGGAGAGAGAGGAGGGCTCTTACCTAACTTGCACTATTAGAAAAAAGAACTGTTTTAAAATAACTTAAAATGTCCAAAATGTTATGGAACTGGATTGAGAGGTACTCATGGTGGGAAGGGGGGATTTCAATGGAGTTCATTTGCTAGCAATTAGTGAGGGGGGAAAATAGTGTATGAACTTTCAGTGATTTGACTCACTTCAAACCAGTTACGTATTCTATGTTATCCTCAAAATAATCTGTTATCAACATTTAATATTAGTTCCATTTTAAAGACTGGAGAACATGATGCAGAGAAATGAGGTAAAATTATACAGGCAGTATACGAGATAGAGTTCAAATGTGGTTCATATGATTCCCAAATCCATGCATTTCCAAAATGCTCTTTAACATTTTGCAAAACAAAAATTATGAATTTTCCCTTCAGATGTTGCATGATAAAGCAGTACTAATTATACAATTGCTATGTAGTTTGGGGGTTCATCTAAGATAAAAAAGGGGAATGTGACATTAATCTGTGGTGTTATATGATTTCTTTAGCTGCAGTCAACAGTTTGATAAAAATAGAGAAGGCAGATAATAAACAGGATTTTCAGTGTGGACAATAAATGAATAGTGGCAAGAATTTAATGAATGAAATGATGAATTGCATTTAGTCTATCAGGAGAAAACAGTGAAATCAAGACAGGGCTGAAATGTTGAGAAGGTTGAGGAAGGAAAGGAATCAAAGTTTTACATAAAATAACAGAAAAATAATGAGAGTAAGGGAGTGACTACTGGAGAGATAGGACTTCAGAGTAGTGAAGTAAGAAATTGGCGCTTAAGATTTCAGAGGCAAAACAGTGGAGGACTAATCTGTGAGACAATGTGAGGACTTGAGTCTGTATCGCCCTCCTGTGAGACTGTGAGAGGCTGATGCTCAGGCACAAGTCCAGTTGGTTGAGAGTCTCTGGCTGTGAGCACCTGCCTTACCTTTGAGAGAAGCCAGTTCTCCTGGACAGTCCCTGCATTGACTGAGCAAGGCAGGGGTATGGGGTTTGCCATTCCTTCCCAGACAAAACATCTCTAATCAGTCTTTTTCTTTAGCTCTTTCTTACTTTCACCAGTCATCATCAATCTGCTTTGCAGAGTGAACTTATCCTTTCCAACCCTATTTCCTTCCCCTTATGTCTTCCAATAAGGTTCTTGCTCTTCTGTATAAGCATTTACTTCACAGAGACTGCAATTAAAACAATGTGTGAAGATAAAGATATTGCAAAGTACGGTTTTCATCTATTTCTTTTCTCTCTCTCTTTTTCTTTCACTATTGTTCAGTGTTTTAATCTATTTTGTGTAAGTAGCAAATAGCAAAATGAGGGTTCTACAGAGCATG